CCTGTACAAAATTATTTTAAAAGTGTCCGGGCACAGTGGCTCACACCTGTAATCCCAGCACTTTGGGAGGCCCAAGCAGGCAGATTGCTTCAGCTCAGGTGTTCGAGACAAGTCCGAGCAACATGGTGAGACTCCGCCTCTACTAAAACTACAAAAAATTGGCCAGGCCTGGTGGTGCACACCTGTGGTCCCAGCTACTTGGGAGGCTGAGGTGGGAGGATCGCTTGAGCCCAGGAGGCAGAGGTTGTAGTGCGCTGAGATCATACCATTGCACTCCAGCCTGGGTGACAGAGTGAGACCCTGTCTCAAAAATGTGAAAGTTGAGAAGAGCCATGACACAGAAAAATTTTAAGTTATGCACTCACGTTTTGCAAAAGCCAAAAAGGCTGAAACTTAAGTGAAGGACAGAGCAAGGAGCCATGTGCGCTGACATGAACCACGCATCTCCAGGGAGAACAAACAGAAGGCCACATGGGCTGAACGTGGGGTTTCCCCCTTTGAGTCAAAGACTCCTGGGGATTCCTGCATGAAATTCAGGAGGTTAGCGTCAGGAAGGTTGGCATTTTCTTCTTTTGCAAATGAAGATGAGAAAACACAGAGGTGTGGGCAGCAGCCGTGCGTTTGCACCAGCAGAAACCGCCACGGAGATTTTTGGATAGAGCCAACTCAAAGCCAAGTGGATGGCCATCGAGGCTCAGAACCAGAGCAGCTATTTAAATGCGTGAGGATATCACAGTTTGTATCGTATAGATTTTGTGCATACGATGATGTGGAGAGCTCAGTTTTTCCTTATACTTTTTACATGCATGTCAATTACATTGATTCGTAATATGATGACTTTTAGCCTGTACAATGAGGCATCAACAGATGTCCAGAGGTTCAAGGCCCGGAAAGGCTCCGTGCTGAGCCCTGGTCACCAGATCAGACTCATGCTCTTACACTTGAGCCTTTTTGGCTTCTGCAAAGGTGTTCAAGGCCCAGAAAAATCTCTGTCCTGGACAGAGCTCCTCCAAGATAAGGAAGAACTGAGACGAATTCATGTGGAAATCTCCAGCCCTAAGCATTGTTTATGATCCACGACCATCTTTCCATAAATGACAACAAGGGAAAGAAGGAGAAAGAATGGCAGAAAAGAAGAAGTCAGTCAATAATGGGCATTGGGTTTGGAAAGTCTTTTTTTTTTGTTTTTTGTTTTTTGTTTTTTGAGACAGTCTCACTCTGTCACCCAGGCTGCAGTGCAGTGGCATGATCTCGGCTCACTGCAACCTCCGGCTCCCTGGCTCAAGAGATGCTCCTGCCTCAACCTCCCAAGTAGCTGGGATTACAGGCATGCACCATCATGCCCAGCTACTTTTTATACTGTTAGTAGAGACAGGGTTTCACCATGTTGGCCAGCATGGTCTCGATCTCCTGACCTCGTGATCCGCCCGCCTCGGCCTCCCAAAGTGCTGGGATTACAGGTGTGAGCCATTGTGCCCGGCCTAGAAAGTCTTAAGTGAATATGATCCTGCATATCTAAAACCAGACCTACAGTATGATGTTTATAAAAGCAGACATCATAACAGTCTTTCATTAAAAGCTAAGGGTGCCCAGGCATAGTGGCTCACACTTGTAATCCCAGCACTTCGGGAGACCAAGGTGGGAGGATCGCCTGAACCCAGGAGTTCCCAGACTAGCCTGGGCAACATGGCAAGAGCCTGGACCTCCAGAACAATTTGTTTATTTTTTAGAGACCGAGTCTCACTCTGTCACCCAGGCTGGATTACAGTGGTGCCATCTCGGCGCCCAGCCGCCAAAATAATTTTTTTAAAATAAGCCGGGGCCAGACACAGTGGCTCATGCCTGTAATCCCAGCACTTTGGGAGGCTGAGGCGGGCAGATCACCTGAGGTCAGGAGTGTGAGACCAGCCTGGCCAACAAAGCGAAACCCCATCTCTACTAAAAATACAAAAATTAGCAGGGCATGGTGGTGGGCACCTGTAATCCCAGCTACTCGGGAGGCTGGGGCATGAGAGTCGCTGGAACCCGGGAAGCAGAGGATGCTGTGAGCCGAGATCGTGTCGCTGCATTTCACCCTGGGTGACAGAGCAAGACTCTGTCTCAAAAATAAATAAATAAATAGAGTTTGGCATGGGGGTGCATGCCTGTGGTACCAGCGACTCGTGAGGCTGAGTCAGGAGGATTGCCTGAGGCCAGGAGTTTGAGGCTGCAGTGAGCCATGATTACGTCACTGCACTGCAGCCTGGGCTGACAGAACAGGATCCTGTGTGAAAATAATTAATTAAAATTCAGGTGGTGTCAACAGTGAGCACCATACGCATTAAGGTTTTTATTTTTCCAAGCTCATCTCCACACATCATTTAAGCTAGCTGATTTAAACTTCCCCAGGTATGCAATTGACGTTCCCTCCCCCTCCCCCATCCCCTACCCGTCCCCTCTCCTTCTCCCTCCCCCAACACCTAGTCTTCCCACACCCCCTCTCCTTCTCCCTCCCCCACCTCCTTTTCTTCTCCCACCCCCTCTCCTCCCCCCACTCCCTCTCCTTCCCCCTCCCCTGCTCCCTCTTCTTCCCCCACCCCCTCCCCATCCCCTCTCCTTCTCCCTCCCCTGCTCCCTCTTCTTCCCCTACCTCCTCCCCATCCCCTCTCCTTCTCCCTCCCCTGCTCCCTCTTCTTCCCCCACCCCCTCCCCATCCCCTCTTCCCTCCCCCACCTCCCTTTTCCCTCCCACCCCCTCTCCTCCCCCACTCCCCCTCTCCTCTCCCTCCCCTGCTCCCCTCTTCTTCCCCCACCCCCTCCCATCCCCTCTCTTCTCCCCTCCCCTGCTCCCTCTTCTTCCCTACCCCCTCCCCTATCCCCTCTCCTTCCCCCTCCCCCATCCCCTTTTCTTCCCCCACCCCTCTCCTCTCTCTACCCCCTCTCTTTCCCCTCCCCTGCTCCTTCTTCCCCTACCTCCTCCCATCCCCTCTCCTTCTCCCTCCCCTGCCCTCTTCTTCCCCCCACCCCTCCCCATCCCCTCTCCTTCTCCCTCCCCACCACCTTTTTCTTCCCCCACCCCCTCTCCTCCCCCCCATCCCCCTCTCCTTCCCCCTCCCCCACCCCCCTTTTCTTCCCCACCCCTCTCCTTCCCCCAACCTCTCCTCCCCCACCCCCTCTCTCCTTCCCCCTCCCCTGCTCCCTCTTCTTCCCCTACCTCCTCCCCATCCCCTCTCCCTCTCTTCTCCCTCCCACCACATCATCCTTCCCACACTCCCTCTCCTTCCCCTCCCCTACCCTTTTCTTCCCCCACCCCCTCTCCTTCCCCACCCCCTCCTTCCCCCCTACCGCCTCCTCCCTCCCCCACTCCCTCTCCCTTCCCGTCCCCCCGCCCCTCTTTCTTTCCCCACCCTCCTGGCATCCCCTCCTTCTCCCTCCCCACCACCTATTCTTCCCACACTCCCCCCTCCTTCCTCCCCGCCCCTTTTTCTTCCCACCCCTCTCCTTCCCCCCAACCCCTCCTCTCTCCCCACTCCCTCTCCTTCCCTCCCCATCCCTCCCCTCCTCTCCTTCACCCAACCCCTCTTCTTCCCCTCCCTCTCCCTCTTCACTGACAATAGTGGAATGGGTTGATTCCAACTGTCCTCATGTCTCCTGTGCTGAAGGAGACCTAAAGAGGTCCCACCTAAAGAGGAGTCAGAGCTCACGATGCTTTTAGAGATTTTCAAAAAGAAGAGCAGAAATCAAACATCGAGTGTCTACAGGGCATGGATGCAGAAAAAACAAGTATCCCACAAAACTGTTCAGATTCTGTCAGGAGGTTGTGTTTGAACAAAATTCATAAACTGAAGTCCTAAACCCCAGGACCTCAGAATGTGACTGTGTTTGGAAATAAGGTCTTTAAAGTGGTGATTAAGGTAAAATGAGGTCACTAAAGTGGCCCTTGGATCTAATCGAACTGGTGTCCTTGTAAGAAGAGCATATGAGGACACAGACACACACAGAGGGACGAGCCTGTGAGGACACAGGGAGAAGACGGCGCCTACAAGCCAAGGAGAGAGGCCTCAGGAGGAACCAGCCCTGCCCACCCCTGGATCTCAGACTTCCAGCCTCCAGGACTGTGGGAGAATCCATGTCTGTTGTGCATAAGCCGCCCAGTCTATGGTCATTCTGTGATAGCAGCCTGAAATACACGAAGACATCTCAGGAGAAGACGAGATGAAAACACACAGAGAAACGACCCTGTGAGGACGGACGCAGGGAGAACACGGTGTCTCCAAGCCCAGGAGAGAGGCCACAGGAGGAACCAGCCCTGCCCTCATTGTGATATGAAACGTGCAGCCTCCAGAATTGTGGAAACTAAATTTTGGCTTTTTATTAACCTCCAGTCTCCTTCAGATACTTTGTTATAGCAGCCCTAGTAAAGTAATAAAGATATATGGTTATTTTCTTCCAGGAAACCATGTGGAAAAAAACACAGGATCAATATGGAAGCAGCACATGTATCTATTTCCAAAACAGTACAACAATTTCCTGTGTTTTCCAGGTTTTGAATATCACCTTTATGAGTTTTGTGGATCTGACTGAATTTTCTATATGCAAATCAACATTTGCATACATGTCTAAATGAACAACTAAGTAGCTCACATTAGGTATAAAACACAACTAACTGCCAGGCATGGTGGCTCACACCGGTAATCCTAGCACTCTGGGAGGCCAAGGCAGGTGGATGGCTTGAGCTGAGGGGTTCAAGACCAGCCTGGCCAGTGTATTGAAACACCATCTCTACTAAAAATACAACAATGAGCCGGGCGTGGTGGTGCCCGTCTGTAAACCCAGGTATTCGGGAGGCTGAGGTGGGAGAATCGCTTGAACCCAGGAGGTGGAGGTTGCAGTGAGCCGAGATCGCACCGCTGCAGTCCAGCGTGGGCTGACAGACTGAGACCCTGCCTCAAAAACAACAACAACAACAACAACAACAAAACTCAAAAAACAAAAAACACAAGTAACTGTAAAAGTCATCACCGATGATAACATGCATGCCAAGTCTCGCCAGATGCTTCGCCGTCGAATAGCCGATGCCATCTGTCCCTCCCGTCACGATAGCCACACGGTCAGGTTGTCGGGGGAAACCTGAAAAACAAGAAGAGAAAATCATCAAACTAAGATTTCAAAGCAGAGCACATATTTGTAAGAATTAAGCCTCCAGAGACGCAGGATGCCAAAGGGAGTGACGGTTCCATTCTTTCTGCTTCTGTTCCTCTTGAATTCCCACAGGCTCAGGAGGCATGAATGTATTAAAGTGGATTAGCCTCGCGTAATGACAGTGCAATAAAAAACCACCTGATAAATCCCCTGTCATCCCCCATGAGTCCCTGGCAGGCGCTGGAATATGCTGTCCATGTGACTGGCAGAAAGGTCTGCAGCATGGATACCCTTTCAGAGGCGAGCGAGAATCCTGAACTAACCTCTGCTCTCGGGGCAGCACCGGGCAGGACATCTTTGTTCGTTTGCGTTGTAAAATGTAGACTTTATCAGGATGTAGGTATGGTGGGGCCAACAGATCAGGAGGCTGCTCTTGAGCAAGTGGTTTGTTACTCACAGGTTCCAAGAGGAGGGGCGTGTCACGCCACTCAGGACCACACAGGGGCACACCCAGTTTGGTCAGGTGGGAAGACAAAGGGGACAAGAGCTCTCCTTGTGGTTTCCAAGGGAAGGAACAGGTGAGGAGGCTTAGCACGGGCTGGTGTCAATGATTTCAGCAGGCTCTGCGGCACAGGGGCTGTCCCTGACTCTGGTACCTGGTTTTGGGGTGGTTACGGCAGGTGGAGAGTGACGTGGAATAGGCAAGCCCAATAAAGGAGATGGTTGGGGGCGGATTCTGGATTGGTGGCTTTGCATACGAAAGACAGGCTCATAGATGGGTTGTTCACCACCTCCGGGATTCGCTAGCCGTGGGAGGGGCAGGGTCTCTAGGGCTGACAAGGTCATGGAAGTCACGCATCAGAACCCAGAAAATAAAAGACATGGTTAATACGGTTTGCTTCACAGCTGCTGAGAGCACAGGTGCAGAGAGCATCTCACTTGAATTTCTGGTTAAGACAAGTGATCCACATTTGGGCAGAGATTTGTATTTCTTTTTCTTCCTTCCATTTGTCCTCCCTGTCTTGTCTCCATCTTTCCTTCCTTCCTTCGCTCTTTCCTTCCTTCCTTCCTCCTTCCTTCTTTTTCCTTTCTTCCTTCATTCCTTCCCTGCCTCACTCCTTCCTTCCCTCCCTCTCTCCTTCTTTCCTTCCTTCCCTCCCTCTTTCCTGTCTTCATTCCTTCCTTCCCTCCCTTTTTCCTTCCTTCCTTTCTCGTTCCTTCCCTCCCTGTTTCCTTTCTTCATTCCTTCCTTCCCTCCCTTTTTCCTTCCTTCTATTCTCCTTCCTTCTTTCCTTCCTTCCCTCCCTCTTTCCTGTCTTCACTCCTTCCTTCCCTCCCTTTTTCCTTCCTTCCTCCTTCCTTCCTTCCTTCCTTTCTTCCCTCCCTCTTTACTTCTTTCCTTTCCTCTTTCCCTCCTTTCTTCTTTTTTTCATACATTTATTTTTTATTATACTTTAAATTCTAGGGTACATGTGCACAACGTGCAGGTTTGTTACACGTGTATACATGTGCCATGTTGGTGCGCTGCACCCACTAACTGGTCATTTACGTTAGGTATATCTCCTAATGCTATCCCTCCTTGTCTTACTCCTTCCTTCTTCTTTTCCTCTTTCCTTCTCTCCCTCTTTCCTTCCTTTATCCTTCCATCCTTTCCTCTTCACTTCTCTCACTTTTTCCTTCCTACCTTCCCTTCCTCTTTACTTCCTTCTCTCACTCTTTCCTTCCTTCTTTCCCTCTTTCCTTCCCTCCCTCCCTCTTTTCTTTCTTCCCTCCCTCTTTCCTTCCTTTCTTCCTCCTTCCTTCTGTCCCTATTCCAACCCTTCCCTTCTTCTTTTATAAAATATGTGTAGAGCCCACACTCGGTGCCCAGCATGCAGGGAAACGAACTAGACCAACATAAACATGTTCTCTGCCTCCAGGAGATTTCGTTCCCCTGGGTAAGATACCATCCACTCTAAATACACAGATGTGTCTGGCAATAATCCAGAACTTTCCAGATCTCACATCTTCCAGTTATGAATGAACTTCGAAGGAAAGCCCGAGCAAAGGAAGAAGAGGAGAGGTAGATGCGGTGATTCTGGATGGAGGATCAGAGGAAAACCCTCCGAGGAGGGTATCCTGAGCTGATGCTGTGACGGTGAGAGCAAAAGCCTGGGATATTATAGGATATTATAGGATATTATAGGAAGAGGAAGGCGGCTGGTGGGCTGGAGCCAAGCACGTGGAAAGAGGGAAGAGAGGAGGGAAGAAGGTGCAGGGGCACCCCGCAGAGTTCGTGAGCTTCTTTCTGTCTGGCAGACCGGGCGTCATCACAGGGCTCTGAGCTGAATCTGTGATATGTTTCACAGGAAGGAATGAAGGGACAGACTCGTGGAGAATCCCCTCGAGCTGGAGGAAGACAGGGCTATCAAGGGTCCCCTGCAGCAGTCCCAGGGATTGACGGGGGAGCTCGGGCACAGTTCAGCACAGGTGGTATGAGAGGTGGTGGATTCAGAACGTGTCTCACAGGTGCAGGCAACAGGGGTGCTGGTGGGAGTCAGACATGTCATGTGCAAAGTCAAAAACCAATCACAAGGCAAGGACAGAGACGGGGACACGATGAGGCAAGAATGAGTCCTTGTACGGGGGGGCTGAGAAAATGCCAGAAGGGAACTTCCATGAATTTCCTGGAGAAGGAAAGACTGAGGGAAAAGTGGATTTTGTAGGCAGGAAGTCAGGCAAGTCGCTTTCTGTGAATTATTACAGACACATATGACCTTTTTCAAGTTTTGTGCAGGAGATTATTTTCTTCAACATATTTGGAATGTTCTTTATTAAAACATAAAGCCTGAGTGTCCACCGACAGATATTCTGATTTTTTAAAATACGGCACATATATAACATGGAATAGTACACAGCCATGACAAGGAATGAAGTTGTGTCTTGTGCAGCAACACAAAGGGAACTGGAGGCCATTATCCTAAGTGAAACAACTCAGAAACAGAAAGTCAAATACCACACGTTATCCCTTATAAGTGGGAGTTAAATAATGTGTACACATCAACATAGAGCACACAATAATAGACATTGGGGACTCAGAGGTGTCACAGGGTGGGATGGGATGAGGGACGAGAAATTACCTATTGGCTACCATGCACATTATTTGAGTGATGGCCTCACTAAAAGCCCAAACATTAGCACTATGCAATATATTCGTGTAACACAAGTGTACTCATACCCACGAATCTATAAAAATACAAAGGTAATTTAAATAGCAATAAGGATTATAAATCATTCTGCTATAAAGACACGCGCACACGTATGTTTATTGCGGCACTGTTCACAATAGCAAAGACTTGGAACCAACCCAAATGTCCATCAATGATAGACTGTATTAAGAAAATGTGGCACAGACACCATGGAATACTATGCAGCCATGAAAAAGGATGAGTTCATGTCCTTTGCAGGGACATGGATGAAGCTGGAAACCATCCTTCTCAGCAAACTCACACAAGAACAGAAAACCAAACACCGCATGTTCTCACTCATCAGTGGGAGTTGAACAATGAGAACACACGGACACAGGGAGGGGAACATCACACACCGGGGCCTGTCAGGAGGCGGGGGCTAGGGGAGGGACAGCATTAGGAGAAATAGCTTATATTGATGACGGGTTGATGGGTGCAGCAAATCACCATGGCGCATGTCTACCTATGGAACAAACCCGCACATTCTGCACGTGTACTGCAGAACTTAAAGTGTAATAAAATAAAATAAAATAGAATGAAATAAAATAAAACGAAAAGGCCTATGCTACTTTTACATTTTGCCTTTCCCAAGTGTAAAATTTTGTGTCTCCTCTCCCCCCAAATTAATTCCTATGTTGAAAACATTCCATCGCCAGGGTGACGGTATGAGCAGGTGCGGCCTGTGGGGGAGGCTGTTCAACGTATAATTTGTTACTTGTCAGCCCGTACATTTCGTTGACAGTATTGTGTGAACAATCCTCTCGGTGTGTAAGACTTTTACTATTTGGCTTGATACACACGTGAATCGATGAAAAGTTACGTCCACCGAGAACACTGCAGCATAAGTTTTCCACACGCTTAGGTTTTCTGGTGTGTTCCTCGCAACCCGAAGGTAGAAGTTGTACAATGACATTCCCATGTTCCCGACCCAAGCTGAGGGACTTGGAACTACTACATGTAGTCTCAGTAGATGTACTGATGTTCTTAATTTACTAAGTTTATTTTAAAAATCGGAATATATTATTAAATCCTAATTACGAACACGCACGCTATGCATATATGCTGTGTGTGTATAAGTCGGTGTCTGTGTGAGGGTGTGTCTGTGTGTGTATGTGTCTGTGTGAGGGTGTGTCTGTGTGAGGGTGTGTCTGTGTGTGTACATGCTGTGTGTGTATAAGCCTGTGTCTGTGTGTGAGGGTGTGTCTGTGTGTGTACATGCTGCGTGTGTATAAGTATGTGTCTGTGTGAGGGTGTGTCTGTGTGAGGGTGTGCCTGTGTGTGTATAAGTATGTGTCTGTGTGAGGGTGTGTCTGTGTGTGTACACACATATTTCTCAGCCCCAAAATGCCAACTTCCTAGTCGATAAAGAAAACACTAAAATCTTCCAGCTAAAGTTAGAAAAGCAGCAAGTATCCATCCTGTTCTCTGTGATGCTTTTTTTTTTTTTTTTTTTTTGAGCTGGGGTCTCATTACATTGCCCAGGCTGCAGTGCAGTGGTACAATCATAGCTTGCTGCAGCCTCGACCTCCTGGGCTCAAACGATCCTCCTGCCTCAGGCTCCCAAGTAGGTGGGACTACAGGTGACAGCCACCACAGCCGGTTATTTTTTTTACTATTGTTTTGTAAAGATGGGGTCTTGCTGTGTTGCCCAGACTGGTCTTGATCTCCTGGGCTCAAGTCATCCTCCCACCCCAGCCTCCCAAAGACCTGCGATTCCAGGAGTGCACCCTGTCATTTAACATGTTACTGGAGATATCATCC